AAATAAACCTTATACATTACTGTTTCTTCCTAAATATCTGACCCTAGTACTTCTATTGTCTCGACTTTGCATACCATTCTTTCTCCTAAACTTGAGCACTGAGCTCTCCACCGCTATTATGCCTATGGGTTCCGTAATCGATCAACTGAATTCAAAACAGGAACTTATGTCAAAAGAAATCGAATTAGTCCGACGTATGGCTAAAACTAACTGGCTAATGGTATATTTTAATCTTAATTTTATAATGTACGACTATATCTAAGGGTTCTGAAGACTGTAAGATTTAAGTAAATTAAATCCGTCGGTTTCAGTTGGTAGGTTGTATCTAAAGAGCAAGCAATATGTATACTTTCGCTATAGAGCAGGACAGAAGCTACTGCGATATAAACCAAATTCATTTTAATTTCAAAAGCTTGATAGCACTTTGAAAAGGTAATGTATCAATTTTTGCTGCACATCTAATCTCAAAATCAAAATCGCTTCTATCTGTTAGCTTCCAAATTAGAACAGCCACATTGTTTGTGACATACGTTTGGATTTATTTCCACGCATAACCTTCCTGATACATTCACAATTAAGCCACCCTCCTGGTTCACTTTGGATGAGTTGAAACGACTCGTTGCTATAGAAGGTGAAACAGAAGGACTCTCTCACCTTCCTCCCTTCATTTTTGAAATTTCAAATATACTGGTACGTGCCGCGAAAGAGGATTTAGTCGACGGTGATCAGGTATTACTTTGTGTACCATACTGGAAATAACAACTGATATAGATTTATTACTTGCTTTTTTTTTAAGATAAAAGTTTTGATGCAAGACTTGTGGGACAAACGTGAAGCGAAGTTGCGGACATCATCTCTGAAGCTTCTCTCACAGGTAGCTGGTCTCTTCTGCTTTTATTCCCGTGTACAAAATTGAATTTTAGCACGCTCATGCACATGTTAGACTAGATGATGTGCAACCTTTGGAAGTGGCAGCAATTCGACCAAATATATCAGCATGCAAACAGATCGCGAGGCTTGTTCGTAATGCCCATAATGTTCAACCCGACTAACGCTCCTCATAGCCTTGCAGTTTCCGTTCAAGCAAATGAACTGTTTCTCTGAATTTGAAAGGCGAGTTTTGGGAACATCTTTTTCGCTTTACAAGGCCTTCATTAGTTAGCGCTTTAGTTCAAATATTGATACATCAAGCACATTGATTCTCCTTTACTATCGGTACAGACTTTGCTATTTCACGTAAAGTTGATGTGAATGATGGCCTGGCCGCATTTCGGTATCTTGTTGCGCCTCCTCAAAGCTAGTACCGTTTTCCTCTCATAAATCATTCTTTCCGTCATTTTCATAGATTGATTATATCAAATCACACGTACTTCACGTACGTAAAGGAAAACGAAAACTATTTTGACCGTCGATGCGCTCTTTACAGGAATGAATTCAACGACGACTTGTATGTAGCACTACCTCAAACCTACTCATTTGCTTTTTTATGCTTCGTATGACTTGCAGTCACATTTTTTTCTTCGAATTGTTCTTTTAAAGATTTTTTCGTGTGACGTTTTGCAAAATTTGTGATTTTGTTATTTGGGAAGAACTCCATTTGAAGTGCCGTTTCTATGTTCAACATTAATCATGATGAGAGTGTAATGAAAAATACTTTCTGGCTACTGATGCGTTATGGCTTTTATTTTTGAAAGAGAAGAATCTTCGACTGCATGCCGAGGGTTCTTCTATTTCAAATAAGGTTCTTTTTGTTCTTAGCAATTTGATCATAGGCAAATGGCCAATTAAAAGTACTTTTGCCGACACACCTTCAGTAGCCTATGCGTTCCAACTTTGTTTATCCATTGACAAAACATTAAATATCCTAGATCTGCGAAACGTTAAGAAATTTGACGATACGCAGATTTGGGATATTTGATGTTTTGTTAATGATAGAAAAGAATCATAGCTTGAAGATTTGCCGGGGTAATTTGCAAAAATGACATTACATCCCTTCTACAGTTGTTCTCCTCTTTAGCGGATAAAAAGATGGTTTCATTTAATTACGGTGAGTTTGACACATATATTCTGAAATCAAAGAAGAAGTAATTATCACCTTTCTTTTTCAAGAACTACAGAACTACAGAACTTTTAAAATTAGTTCCAAATAATTAGTGATTTATATTACGATTATACTTTATGATGTCGGGTGCGTATCGTTAGATACCCGGCGCTCTCTCGGGCGAGAGCGTGCAGACAGTTGGATCCGCGGTGATCGAAGAGATCCATCGCGATCGAACCTGACACCGAGCGTATGTCAAGCCCCGCCCGCTTCCTGCTCTTACGACGGCACCACTTACTTGTGTCTTACATTTCTCATTGTTCCTTATACGGGCCCACCCTTCGCCCAAGATTCTCATACGTTATATTGCGGCCGTATATCAGCACCGCCGAGGAAATGTAGTTTGGGGTCTCGTCGTCAATAAAAAACTTAATTAATCAAGCC